TTTCCTCAGCAGAAACTTCTCCTTTCTTAGATGATTATTCTATAAATCAAGATCACTAAATCCACAGGTTGGCTCCTCCTACATACTACTGTATCATTCTTTCATTTCCATTTTTATTGTGACTTTAACAACATATATGAACATTCCAGTATACAAAGAACACAGATTGCATGTGAAACTGTAAATCTCTAATATGAATAGATTGTTTTTAAAGTGTGTTAACTGAAACATACAATGTCACACCACACAAAAAATAAAAATCCTCCCTTGTAAAACATAATTACAGCAAAACAACTTCACATGTTGGCTCTGCCTGACACCAGACAACATACACCTCATCCTGCACATCCCTTTTCTGCCAAAAGGTAGGAATAATGCTTCATTACCAGTCTTCTGAAGTTGATTGGTCATTTCACTGATTAGTCTTTAGGTCTTTCAAAGCTCTTTCCCATACCATTTTCTCTCATCATACTTAAGATGTGGTCTGACCAAAGGAAAGTAATTTGAAAACATCTCCCAATTCTTTGAAGCTCTGCTTCTAAGCAAAATGCTGACTTAAAGATTCTCTTCCAACCACATCTCCCATTACCACATCAAAATTGTGAAAAATGCCATGAAACCATGTTTGATGACCCTCTAGAGTTACTATCAGGTGATACACAAAAGAGGGAGACAAATCCTCCCAAAAGGCACTTATTTTTATTACTGTCATGAAGAACATCCAGCACCAAGAGTCCAAGGTGAAGAGATTCCTGGAAAGTGCTAGCTGCATCTAGCCCCTCAACCCTGCAGAGACACTTAGATAAGATCTATAACCACTCAAGAGTGTAGTCTAAGCATTCATAGTGAAAAACCATGTGGATGAAGAACACCTTTTGTCTAAATGCTAAGTTAGGTGGCTAGCCTATACAGCTTGACCATCAGTGTATGTGCACATGTGTGCATTTATATATGTATGGTTATATACAGACACACAGACACACACACACCTTAGAAAGACGCTGCAAGTACGCAAATGGATGAACTGGGCCCAGAATTATACAACCTAGCACACAGGGTATCATCTCTTCCTAATCAAATACATGAAAATAAACAGCACTTCTGTAGTGGTAAAATAGTGGAAACTGGATCAGTGTAAATTGACTGGAGGAATGGCCAAACAGTAGCACTAAAATGTAATGGAATATTATTCCATGGCATGAGAAATCATGAATATGAGGAATTCTAAAGACTTGTAGGCACTGCTGCAGAGAAATAAAAAAATGGAACCGTTGAAACTGACAAAACAATCTTCCCAGTCTAGTCCTGCCTTCTACAGCAGAAGTTCTAAACCTGGGGCCAAAGAGCTTCTAAAATTTTTTTTTCATAATATTTCAATATAATTTATTTCCCTAGTAACCCTATGGATTTTATGTTATTCATTCAGCAACATTATTCTGAGGAGTCCATAAGCCAACAGGTACCCATGTCAACACAAGAGATCCATGACATAAGAAAAAGTGAAGAATTCCTGGGCTAAAGGAACATCTCCAGAACATTTGATATTTATAAAATTTTTATCAAGAATGAATTGCCTTGTGTGGAATGACGCATTCATTCAAGCAGAAAGTCTTCTCAAAGTCATTACAGTTAATACTTGAGGCCAACAAAGTTCTGTATTTGGTAAAAGATCTTCTGTTATCCTTGTCCTTCTGTCTACTGTGGCATTTGTGCCATTGGGTGAGCTGTCCAGTCAAGCACGTGGCCTTTTCACAGTGGTTTCTCTCAGCTATAAACATAATTTTGTAAGTTTTCTCTCCAGGATGAATTCTCAAGTATAGGTTGAACAGCCTCCATGTAAGTCTTCCCACAGTCATCACATTCATAAGGTTTCTTCCAATACAAATTCTCTAATGGCAAGTAAACCCTGTGCTCAGATGGAAGGCTTTCTACCTAGATTTTTCATTAAGTTCTTCTCCAGAAGGAATTCTCTTCTGCGGAATAAGGTGATCTTTGAGGTGGAAAGCCTTCCCAAAGTCATTACATTGATGTAGTTCCTTTCTTGTTTTTGTTTTTGTTTTTTTAGGCAACTGGGGTTAAGTGACTTGCCCAGAGTCACACAGCTAGTAAGTGTCAAGTGTTCGGTCTGAGGCCGCATTTGAACTCAGGTCCTCCTGACTTCAGGGCTGGTACTCTATCCACTGTGCCACCTAGCTTCCCCTGATATAGTTCCTTTCTAATAAGAATTCTCTGATGTGGAATAAATTGTGTGCTCAGATGGCAACTCTCCTACATATATTTTTAAAAGGTTTCTCTGTATATAAATTCTCTGATGTTCAGTAACCTGTCTTCTGAAGCCAGAGACCTTGTCAATTCATTAGATTAATAAAGCATAATTCTGGTATGAATCTTCTCATGTTGACAGTGATCCCTCTGGTGGAAGACCTTCCCACATTCACTCATAAAGTTTCTCTCCCACAGGAATATTCTGATGTCTGATAAGATTTATCTTCACATAGAAGACTTTCCCCTCACACTCTCTGCAGTCATTAGGTCTCTACCCCATGAATTCTTTGATGTTGGATAAGATGTATTTAAAAAAGACACATAACACTTACTAGCTGTGTGACCCTGGGCAAGTCACGTAACCCCAATTGCCTCAGACACACAAAAACAATTTTTTAAAAAGATGAATTTAAAAAGAAAGTCTTCCTCACATTAATTGCATCTAATAGGTTTTCCTCCAATATGGATTCTATGGTGTCAGGTACATTCTGTTTCAACAAAAAGTCTTCTGAAATTTGTAACATTCATTTAACACTTCCCTCCAGTATGTCTCCTCTGATGTTAAAGTTAAACTCTCTGGCTGAAAGACCCCCACCCCCATCCCCCAACATTCATTACATTCCTAAGATTTCTCTTCAGTATGGATTTTTTCATTCATACTGTCCTCTTCAGCTAAAGACCTTTTCATACTGATTACATTCATAAGTTTTCTCTCCAATATGAACATGTTCAGTAGGCTGTCTTCTCCCACTGAAGGCCTTCCCAACTTGATTACATTCATAAAATTTCTCTCCAATATGAATTCTCTGGTGTCTTGTACACTCTTTGCTGAGGCGGAAGGCCTTTCCACATTGTTTACATTCATAGGGTTTCTCTCCAGTATGAATTCGCTGATGTATAGTAAGCTGTGTCCTGTGGCCAAACGCCTTCCCACACTGATTACATACATAAGGTTTTTCTCCAGTATGACTTCTCTGATGTATAGTAAGATGTGTACTGTGGCCAAAGGCTTTCCCACATTCATTACATTTATAAGGTTTCTCTCCCGTATGAATTCTCTGATGTTGAATAAGGTGATGTCTCAGGCGGAAGGCTTTCCCACAGTCTTTACATTCATAAGGTTTCCCTCCAATGTGAATTCTCTGGTGTCGGTTAAGATCTCTGTTCATATAAAAGGTCTTCCCACATTCCTTACATTCATAAGGTTTCTCTCCTGTATGAATTCTCTGATGACGAATAAGATCTGTACTCACAGAAAAAGTCTTCCTACATTCTTTGCATTGATAAGGCTCCTCTCCAGTATGACTTCTCTGATGCTGAATAAGGTGATCTTTTAGGCGGAAAGCCTTCCCACAGTCATTACATTCATAAGGTTTCTCTCCAGTATGAATTCTATGATGCCCAATAAGATGTCCTTTACGACTGAAAGCCCTCCCACATTCAGTACATTCATAAGGTTTCTCTCCAGTATGAATCCTCTGATGTCGAGTAAGATGTCCTCTCCGGCTGAATGCCCTCCCACATTCATTGCACTCATAAGGTTTCTCACCAGTATGAGTCGTGTGGTGTTGAATAAGATGTCCTCTCCCACCAAAGGCCTTCCCACATTCATTACATTCATAAGGTTTCTCACCAGTATGAATTGTCTGATGTCGAGTAAGTTGTCCTCTCCCACTGAAGGCCTTCCCACATTCATTACATTCATAAGGTTTTTCTCCAGTATGAATTCTTTGGTGTCGTGTGCGCTCTTTGCTCATGCGGAAGGCCTTTCCACATTGATTACATTTATAAGGCTTCTCTCCGGTATGAATTCTCTGATGCTGAGTAAGATCTGTTCTCACACAGAAAGCCTTCCCACATTCATTACATTCATAAGGTCTCTCTCCAGTATGAATTCTCTGGTGTAACGTAAGCTTGGTTTTGTAGCCAAAAGCCTTCCCACATTCTTTACATTCATAAGGTTTCTCTCCAGTATGAACTCTCTGATGTACAGTAAACTGTGTCCTGTGACCAAAAGCCTTCCCACATTCTTTACATTCATAAGGTTTCTCTCCAGCATGAATTTTTGGATAGGATGAACTATGAGCTAAAGATTTCCCACATTCATTATGTTCATAAAGTTTCTCTCCAGTGTGAACTCTCTGGTGTCCAATCAACTGTATATTCAAGGGAAAAGTCTTCTCAAATTCATCATATTTAGAGGTTTTCTTTTCAATGTCAATTGCTTGACTTAAATTAATGGATGGGCTTAGTTTGATGGCCTTCCCATATTCATTATGCTCATGAGGTTGCTGTCTATTATACAGTCTATGATAGTCAACACAATCTGATTTAGAATTGAAGGAATCCCCACATTCATTATACTTAGAAAATATCTCCTTTGAGCAGACTCTACTACATTCCGTATCACATTTGTGGAGACTTTTTTCCATAGACACTCTCTGCTGTGAGAAAAGTTTTGGTTCTGGCCTGGAGCTCTGGCCATAACTGTGCCATTCAGGGCCCCTCACTACTTGCTGAGGATTTCTCTCCTCAGTGCTCTGCTGCCTCCCTAATCTGGCACCACGTGCCCAGGCTTCTTCCAGCTGGAGACACAGAGACCATGCCTCCTGAGTCTGTCCTGGCCTGATGACTGTTCCACAGAAATGCCCAGCTCTGGGGGTGACTCCTTGGTTTCAGGCCTCACCTCCCCATCTGAAAGAAATAAAGAAAATGGAAACATCACCTGTACCCACCTGCTGAACACTTAGCAGTCCTCTTTTGTGTCTCTTCCTGAAATAATTATTGAAAAACTTTAAAGAATAGGAAAAAAATGGGGTCTTTCTTATGTTTGTCAGATTATGCAGAGTTTAGGAAAAACTTTCCCACTGGTCCACACCACAGCTTTGGGAGGAACGGACGACAGCTAGTACATTAAAAGAGAAACCTGAGGCTCAGAACGATTCAGTGATTTGCTCAAGGTCACACAACTCAGTAGCAGAGGCACAGCACAATCCTGGGAAGTCTCCTAACCTCCATCCTCCTGGTCTTCTTGCCACACCTCACTGCTGCCCTACCATGGAGTCAGCTCACAGGATCTGGAAATATGCAAGCAGAGCTAGATGACCATCACTTGTGGAGAACAGGGAAAGAATGTCTGCATTGAGGGGGAGGGGCTCACTGGCCTGCCCCTCAGTGTCCTTGCAAAGCTCAGATTCTAATCTTCTTTCTGCTTAGAATGATGACAGGAATTTATGGCTGGTTCAGCCCGTTTCTTCCCCATGTGGACGGGGACTCAGGATATGATACATGAAGGCACCTCAGGCTGTCAGTCTGTTTTAAGAAACACAGATTAGAGCCTAATTGAGCTTATTGATGGATACAGAGCAGGGATGACAACTAGGGTGTCAAAGAAGGTTAGTGGCACTAGCTGACATCTCAACAGAACAAGGAAACGCCAGTTCGTCTTCAGTCCCAGGACTCATGGCTTATTAACTGCACTGCTCAGAGTTCTGACTCTTTTCAAAGTTGTTCTTCTCTACAGTGCTGTTGTCAATGTATAAATTGTCCTAGTTCTGCTCAATTCCCTCTCCAACTGTTCAGAGAGGGAACTCTCTTTCTCCTGAAACTGTCCGTTGTGTCATTTCTTAGACTATTCCACTCCATTTATTCAACATTTGGCCTTTTCCCAATAGCTTCCCATTTTCAGCTACCACTAAAGAGCTGCTACAAATATGTTCACACACATGAGTCCTTTTCCTCTTTCTTTGACCTCTTTTAGTATAGGTCTAGTAGTTAAGTCAGTCAAATAAACATTTATTAAGCACTTACTGTGTGCTAGGCACTCTGCTATGCACAGGGGACACAAAAAAAGGGGGAATGATAGTCCCTGCCCTCAAGGAGCTCACAATCTAATCTTAGAATCACTGGTTCAGTGTTTAGTCATTTAGGGGGCATTGTTCCCAATTCCTTTCCAGAAGGGTTAGACCAATTCACAACTCCACCAACCACGCCGGGGTGCATGTTTCCCCATGGCTCCTCCAACACTCACCATTTTACTCTTCTGTCATCTTTGCCAATCTGACTGATGTGAAGCAGAACCTCAAGGTTGCTTAAATTTCCATTTTTCTGATTATTAGTGATTAAGTATACCTCATCATAGCCTTTGACCATTTATCAATTAGAGAACGGCTCTTGGTTTTATAAATTCCAATCAAATTCTGATCTATGTTTGATAACACACAAATATATAATTTATGATGACCTTTTTTTCTGTTGTGAGTTTCCCTTCTAATTTTAATCACATTAGATTTGTTTGTATGAAAATTTTTACATTTTATATAATCAAACTTGTCCATGTTATCTTCTCTGACCACGTTTTACCACTTGTCAGGCCACAAACCAACTCCTTCCCTCTCCACAGACCTGAGAGGTTACTCCTTCCTGACTCCTCTACTTTATTGGCGATGACAGCTTTTATATCTTGGTCATGTATCTACTTGCAAAGGACATTTCTCTGATTATTATTGCAAAATGAACACAGGTAATTTGGGAAAGTTAATTTTGTATGTTGGCCGCAACATTGATCACCTAAGTTGTTGTCTCCATTAAATGTTTTGGTTAAGATTAGGGCATTTTTAAGATATTTTTTATCAAAATATTTTACCTATGAAAATTTTACCTTCAAGTATCCTGGCCTCTTCATTTCCAATGTTAAGCAAGCTAACAGGTCTTTCTCTTTTAAATTGGCACTCATCTTTTTTTCTGTTAAAAAAATATATGTTTTGTTATATGGAATAGCTCTCTGAGTGGAGGTAGGGGAAAAGAAAGGGATGAGGGGGAAACTTGGGTGATGTAACAACAAAAATTATCAACAAAAAACTTTTACAATTAATAAATAGGCACTCGGAGATATCAATTTAAGGATTGTTTTAGCTACGTGCATAAATTTCTACATGTGCCATTACTGTCATTCTCTTTTAAATATTCTGTTGTTTTCAATTCTTTATTTAACCCTAAACATTTAATAAACCATTTTCAGTTCCTATCTAGTTTTTGAACTTTTATTCACATAATTTCATGCTGATTTCATTATAGTCTGAAAATAATTTGTCTCATTTCTCCCTTACCAAATTTTGTTAAAGGACCTCTCTTTGAAATAGCGTTTGGTTCTTAGAAGCATTCCATTATCTGCCTTGTTTTTTTACATACACAAACCAAGTCTAATCGAATAGTCAGATCTGGGAGTTCTTTGTTGTTAATACAAATCGTTATAAAATGATAGCAGAGTGCAAAAGTCCAAATGTGTGTGTAAATATATATGTACATGTATCATCGATGTTTCTTTGAATTTATCTGTCAAACTTTTGAATACATATAACTTGAGAACTGTTAATTTATTTGCTATTCATTTCCCTTTGGCTATTTTGGAACAGTCTTAGTCAACATTTTCTAGTTTGAATTCCACATTTCAATACCAATATTACTACTCCTATAATATTACAACTTAAAGCAGTATGATGTACTTTGGACCAGTGGTATCAAACTCAAGTAGAAATAGGGACCACTAAACCATAGGTCAAGATCCTTGAAGGCTGCTTATTGATTTAATTTTTAAAGGTACTATGACTTATGTTTTACTGAATTTTTATTTTGTTAAATATTTCCCAGTTCAGGCTGCACTTAGCAGTCTTATGGGTGGCATGTGACCCGCAGGCCACGTGTTTAACACCTCTGCTTTAGAGCAACCTCTTAATTTAAATCTACATTCACATATGTGTGTGTATACTTATATACACACACACACAACACACACACGTACATACACATGTATATGTATATGTGCACATATGTATTTACATATCCTTTGATAGCAGATGTTTCTCCCAGCAGGTAACATGATAGATGGGCTTTGTTTCGTGATTGTCTGTAACTTGTGCTCTCAATGGGAGAACTCAGACCATTCACATTTCCTGTTTTAAGACCTATACGGGATTTGTCAACTAACATTTTATTTTCTAGCTGTTGTTCTTAGTGTTTTCCACAGTGGAAGCTAGTCTACTTTTCTAATTCTATTTCAACTGTTAAAACTGGGAAGCGAAACGATGGTGGTTCTTGGACTGTGTTAGACATGTTTTCAAAAACAAGATCTAGATGCCTAATCGTTTCTCTTATACATTTTAATACAGATTCTATTCTAATCCTGCCAAAACCATCTATTTTATTCTTATGTGTCTGGATGTATCTTGTTATTGAAAGGAGTATGTCCATTCATTAAAGTGACTTACGCCTTTTGATGACCATCAAAATCATTTCCAAATACGCCCACACACAACAAACCCTCTCATAAAAAGGAAAAAGTTGAGCACAATCCAAGAGACTAAACGCACAACCACTTCAGAAAGTGTGTGCCCCAGGTGACACCCACGGCCAGCAATACGCACCTGCCGAGAGGCCGGCACCGCCACTCCTCTTTCCTCCAGCACAAGACTGGCCCGTATAATTTGTCAGAGCTCCTCAGCCCTCAATCTGGGTTTAGCTTTCATTTACCGCTTACCCCTGTTTGCCGGGTAGGTTTTCTCAGTATCTCTCTCTGAAGTCCTCATATTTTTGTCATAGAACTCCTTGGCAAATACACCCAAGAGGGGGATCATGGGATCAAAGGGAATGTAAGAACCTAAGAGAGATTTCTTGCATAATTCCAGAGGTTTTTCAGAATGGCTGGACCATTCCACAGTACCTCCAACAGTGAGCATAACCACCAATTACTGTCTCAGCTAATCTGACAGGAAGATATGCCGTCACGGGGCTCTGACAAAGGAGGGCTGAGTCTGAATCCTGTGACCCTGGACAAGTCCCTAGCCCATCTGGGCCTCTAAAGTGAGGAGGTGGGGCTCGATGGCCCAACACCACACCTAGGTTCCTCACTCCTCAGAGATGTCAGGAAGCTGGACTTGTTGAGGTGACAGTGAAGGAACAGCCTGGGCTGTTCTCCCCGGTCTGGGGAGATCCCTGTCCAGTATGCTAAAGGGGCTTCCCCGACTGACTGGTGGAGATGCTGTCCCCATGGACTCACCTGCCTGGTGCTCAGTCACTCACTCACCTGGACAGCTGCTCTGTGGCCCTTTCTCTTCTGGCCTCCAAGGAGCCTCCCCTCGCTCCAGCTGGTGAATCACTTCAGGCTTGGACACAGCCAGCCCTGCCCAAAGGAAATGGGAGTCCTGGGGTAAAGCTGGAGGGTTCAGGTAAGGTCCCAACCAGGCCCAGCCCCCCACCCCACACACACGTAACTACTCCCCAGCAAAGAAGAAAAAGAACCCAAAGAAGAAAACCAGGGAGCTCCCCCTGCCCAGTCCAGAGCTTCTGAAGAGAATGAATGAACATTTATGGGAGATATGTTTGGGCAGGAGTCTCGGGAGCTGGAAGGCAGCGAGACCTTGGGCCCATCAAGGTGCCCCTATTCCAATGCTACATGGCCCTCCAAGAAATGCCAAGTCAATGTGATCCCTGACCTTTGATCTCTCTGGACTGCAGCAGGGGTCCAAACAGAAGGACTTCCAGGAGGTCACCCCTGGGGCCTAGGCCAGTGTCCATGGTGGGACACAAGGGAGAGAGGCCAAGCCAGGGATTAAGGCAGACCCTCATGAAGCTGAGGCAGCATGGCAGCAGGGAACAGGCCTCATCCTGGGAAAAGCAACCCAGGAACAGGCACTGAGCTGAGCACTAGACAGAGAAGACCAAAATCACGGTCCCTGCCTTCAAGCAGCTCA